GGTGTGGGAGCCTTTCCGGGAGACCAGGCCCCGCCCCGCCCCCACCCCGTTAACCGGTGTTGTCAGGGGCCCTGGGCACAGGGAAAGCGGCCGGGTAGACCTAGCGCTGGGGCCTGCGTGCAGCTCACGATCCAGTGCCCTGCAGACGCCAGAGGAAAGCTGATCGCTGATGGGGGACAGGACGCAACCTCCTGGGAGCCGCCCCCGAAGACGGAAGGCCTCGCGTACTCGCCTCCAGAAACTCATTAAAATATATTTGTGAGTGAGCACACACTCTCCCAAGGCCGCCTCCTCGGTCGTCCAGGGCCCACCATCCAACCGAGTTAAAATTCGCAAATTGATTCTCACGCGTTGGTATTAATGGGCTGCTCCTCTTAAATTGTTGCCAACTTTGCTAATGGATTATTATTTAAATGATTCCTTTTTTATAAAGTACGTGTTGTTTTATAGATGCGTATTTACTTAAAGAAATCAACTGCATCTATTAACATATTAAAGAAAGAATAAAGCATCGAGGCCGGTGTAATGTACTGTTCAGCCTTACTTTGGGTGCTCTCGAAGATAGGAAAATCTTATTTGTTTAATAATAAGTCACTCATGAATATGCAAATGACCTCGGCGCAGTACCTCACTTCTGTCACTATTAATGAGTTGCAAATTAATGTGACAACAAAAGGAAAATCTATTTAGTGGAGGAACTCGGGTTCCTACCTGGGGAGATCCCCAGCCGGCCCGGAACCTGCGTCTCCAAGGAGGAGAGGAGACGGGCTGGACATCTCCTCGTCTGGGCTTTTCCTGGAATCGCCGCCATTGTTTGGTCTCAGGGACTTGCTTTGTGGGGAGCACCTTAAAATTCTTGCTCCAGGCCCAGGAAGAAAGGCTGCTCTGGGGTAATTAGGGCTGAGAGTGATCCATGGGAATCAGCCCACAGTTTGAAGTAGGCCATTGGGGAAGCAGACTGGGGAGCGGGGGAGGCTGCCCCGCCCAATTCAAAGATTCCCCAAAGTCCTTTTGGCCGCAGTTGCTCTGGACAGTTAGGATGGTAAGTACCCAATCAGGCCTCAGAGGCCTGGCCCTTGCATTTAACGAGGTGGCTCTGCTGATGGGAGGTTTAAGCGTCCTTCCCAGAGGTGACAGACTAACATCTGGGTGTCTTCCCCTGAGTCTTCGCTTAGTCCTGGCCCGCACACCACAGCCTGTTTTCATTTCATCCATGGATGCTGGAGAGACTGTTTCTAATCCAGTTAAGTTTGGAAACATCTCTAAGCGATGGCTACATAGTTACATACAAAATGTGAAAATCCATCAGGCTATATGCGTGGTTGGCGCACTTTACCAGTGAGTTACATCTTGTTGGTGTAAGTCACACCTTGGTTTTGGTTACCTGTTACTGGGTAAAACCACCTTGAAGCTTAGTGGTGTCAACAGCAATAATCACTTACTTTCCTCCAGAATCTGCAATCCGGGCAGAGCTTGACAGAGGCAATTCGCCTCCACACCCCACTGTGTAGCTGGGACAGCTCCGCTGGGACCCCAGGATCCCTTTCAAGATGGCTCGCACGTGGTTGGCAAGCTGGTGCTGGCTCCGCTTCTCCTCCATGTGGGCCTCTCCGCAGGGTCGCTCCAACTTCCTCCCAGCATGGGGGCCGGGTGCCAAGAGCAAGCGCCCAAGAGGAAAGGGAAGCTGCCATTTACTTAAGGCCTGAGCCTGGCGACTAACAGTGTGGGTTCCGCCTCGTTCTATTGGTCAAGCAGTCCCAGAGCGCAATTCAAAAGGAGGGGACACGGAGCCCTCCCTCCTCTCCCTATGGGAGGTACGCCAAAGAATGTTGGGGCTTTGCTTTAAAACTGCCGCATATCCATTTTAAAAGAAAACAAAATATGTGACTTCATTTTTTGTTTTACACCCCACTCCTCCACATCTCTTTCCTCCCAAACATCAATGGGAATTATTTGATATCCCAGTAAATTTGTGTGGGTGTGTATAGAAAAGACCATTTACATTGGGGTTTTTTGTTTGTTTGTTTGTTTGTTTAAATATATTTTTATTGATTTCAGAGAGGAAGGGAGAGGAAGAGAGATAGAAACATCAATGATGAGAGAGAATCACCGACTGGCTGCCTCCTGCACACCTCCCACTGGGGATGTGCCCGCAACCAAGGTACATACCCTTGACCGGAATCGAACCCGGGACCTTTCAGTCCGCAGGCCAACACTCTATCTAGTGAGCCAAACCAGCTGGGGCACATTGGGCTTTTTAAATTACTATTAATTTGTTAAAGTTTCAGATTTTAAAATCTAGACTTTCACAAGTCTTTAGCTTTCATTTATTAACCTTGTTACTTATTTATTTTTTAAACCCTAGGGGAAGATGCAATTTATGTTTTTAATATATTTTATTGATTTTTTACAGAGAGAAAAAGAGAGGGATAGAGAGTCAGAAACATCGATGAGAGAGACATATCCATCAGCTGCCTCCTGCACACCTCCCACTGGGGATGTGCCCGCAACCAAGGTACATACCCTTGACCGGAATCGAACCCGGGACCTTTCAGTCCGCAGGCCGACACTCTATCCACTGAGCCAAACTGATTAGGGCTAACCTTGTTATTTTTATATAAAATTAGAGCAATCATTCTTAAGAGAGGGCTTTGATTAAGGCTCAATCAAGACAAGTTGAACAGACTAAATTCCCTTAAACTGCCCCCCCATTTGTAAATTTAGCTAAATTTTCCTAAACATTTTAGACTGCAATATGTATATTGAATTTGTTTTCTTTTCTTTTTAACCATTTGAATGCCTGAATGAACAAACTTATGACCTTAGTAAGCAAAACCTTCTTAAACATTTGTAAGTCACATAAATTGAATCTGTGAATATGCCATTGTCTTAAACAACTCAACTCTGCTTTGCAAATCAAATTTTAATTCCTTTTACCTTATTACTGAAAGTTTCCAGTCTATTATACATTTTTAAGTTGAAATCAGAGGGTAAACTGACTCTTTACTACCATCAAGTTTTCATAAACACTACCAATTAAATGGCATTCATAGATTATTCTTAAACTTAACACCAAAATCTCACCCCAGTATCTCTGATTGACTTCATCTTCTCCATATTCAATTCTCCACCTTCCCAAGGTCCTTACCTGGGAAGGGACCACGCCCACCCCAGTCAGTTTTGCTTCCATTTGTAAATTTATTTCAATATTCCTGACCTATAAATAGTTCTGTTCTTGGGATTCTCCTTTAAACTGGTAATAATACCTCACCCCTTCCTCTACTTAGTGAGTTAAATAGCCACGCTTGCCAGGCAAATAAAACCTTAGTAATGCGTTCATTTTATATGTGTATGAGAGGCATGATTTTGCCTTCTTTTGAGCATTAGCCTTTAACATTGGTCAATGGTTCGCCACATGATATAAATCATATTTGTGGCCAGTGGGAAAATGGAGGCCAGGACGCGGGATATGGGCCATACAAATCTCCAGGGAGAATTTGCTTACAGCCCGCACAGACCTACAGAGCCCTTTTTAATCCCCCATTTATAGTTGCCAGGACAACTGAAGATCCAAGGCCGTACCCTTCCGGTAGAATTTTTTGTTTCTCAACATCAGGTTCCAGGTTCAAGGTAAATCCTACCCTGATTGTTTCAAACCTCTTCTTTCTCTCCACTCTACCACCCACATGGCTCCAACACTTGATTGCATTCCATTCTCCTATTTACTACCTGTGGTGGTTTTTAAATGTGTCCACACATTCTTTGATTCTCTACCCTTCAAAAGGTGGAGCCTGCTTTTCTCTCCTTCCCTTAGTCGTGGGCAATGCTTAATGAATCGGTTGTAATGAACAGAACATGACAGAAGGGACCGTCTCTGACATCCACGATTAGGATATAAAGGCTTTCTCCTTGCTATCTGGGGGAAGCCAGCTGCCCTAGCGTGGGGACGCTCAAGGAGCCCTGTGGAATGAGCCATGCGTCGGCGAAGCGAGGCCTCCTGCCAACTGCCATGCGAGTGAGCCATCTTGGAAGCAGATCCCGGGCCCCAGTGGAACCTTCAGGTGACTGCGGCCCCAGCCAACATCTTGCCTGCAACCTCGCGAGAGTCCCTGAGCCGCAAGCATCTAGCTACGCGGCTCCTGAATGCCTGATCCACAGGCAACTCTGAGATAATAAGTGTTTGTTGTTTTAAGCCACTAAATAGTGGGGTGATGGGTTGTGCAGCCATAAATGACTAATGCGTGAGTCGTCTTGCATCGGGACATAGCTCTAAGCCGTTCTAATAGCACTAAACTCATTTCTATTTTGCCCAGATGAGTGGCTGTGCCTCATTCAACCCCCAAAGGAAGACACCCATTCATTTTTCTCAGCCTGGAGAACCGTTTTCTAAAAGCCACGAGGAATAACTTAAATCACATCGCTGGGAGTAAAACAGTGAACTAAATATAGATGGCAAAATAATGTTTCCGGCAATAACAGTGATGATAAAGGAGCAGGAGCAGTAAAGCAGTTTTAAGTACTTCTTTTGATCACTTTGCAGTTGAAAGTCAGATCTTTGTAAGAACTCATTACCATGCAACTCAGAGAGAGGACCATTCTGGGAGACAGAGTCAAAACGAAACGAAACACATTCATACCCTGCAAGAAGCCACCCAAAGCGTGAAAAGCAAACCTGGAATGATTCAGTTCTGGAGGAGTGGATCTGCTATAGGTATGCCCCGAAGTGCTGCTTAAAGATGAAATAACTTCCTTTCTCTCGGTGCGGTATTTTTCAACAACTGAAATGATAAAATTTTTGGAGTGTGACCTAGATGACTCAGATGACTTCCTGTGCCAGGAACAGGGACTTGGTAGTGTAGATAAGACTCCTCAAAAAGCTTAGGCCGGTGTTGCTCGGTGGTTAGAGTGTCAGCCTGCAGACTGAAGGGTCCCGGGTTCGATTCCAATCAAGGGCACATACCTCTATGCAGGCTCCATCTCTGGCCCTGGTCGGGGTGCATGCTGGAGGCAACCAACGGATGTGTTTCTCTCACATCGATGTTCCCCTCTTTCTGTCTCCCCCGCTCCCTTACACTCTCTCTAGAAATCAATGGGAAAATATATTAAAAAAAAAAAAAAAAAACGGCACTTACTGTCTGATTCAGGGCCAAACTAGTCTTTGTGATTAGAGGTCGGGACAAGGGTTGTCCTCTCGGGGGAGGGGGAGGGGTGACTGGGCACAGGCGCAGAGGGACCCTCAGAGACCACAGAGGTCTGTTCCAGTGCATACACTTGCCTGCACGGGCGCTGCCCTTCACTACGTGTGAGGAGGACATGGCACCCTCCCGGGGAGGGTGGGCCCGGGAGGAAAGAGTGTTACTTAATCCTGGAAGGGGAAAGCTCAGGGAAAGCTCCCTGGAGGAGGCGATGGGGCCTTTTCTTCACTGCCTTAGCCTTGGGGAGAACAGGAAGGTGCTGAGAGAGCAAAGCCAGAAGTGCCCCCAGTCTCAGTGGCCAGGAGAGAGCGCCCGGCTCTCCAATCACCATAGACCTTGTCTCCCTCTGGCGAGCTGTGTTCTGTGGCCTGGCCTGCACGGCTCTGGGGCTGAATGAAAGGAGGGGTATTTTGAAAGCTTCTGGGAAAATACATTTAAAAATACAGTCTGTTCAGCTGCTTATAAAAGCGGCGTCACTAAATTCTTAAGAAAGGACAGAATTCAGTCATCGAAGGGGTGCCCCGGTTTCTCTAAAACAGGGCTTCTGAGCTTGGGCTAGAATTCACGGGACTGGCTTTGCTTTAATCTAAACCTGAACTGAAATTCAGCGCGTCCCCGTCTTGCACGTGGACAACAGTCGCGTCGGTGTTAGCGGCACCTGTGACCTGGTCCCTGATCAAAATCACAGATATTTTCATATCGTATCACAGGTGCAGCTGATCACAGGCGATGCCGATCTCTCGATGTATTGATCGCATCGCTAATTTGAAATTATGATATGTGTTAGGCCTGCTGCTGAGTCTTCTGATTTAATTCGTCATACAGAGGCACATCCATTAGTGTTCCGCTTGTCTATGCTCTGTAACAAATTGCCTCAGAATTTAGTGGCTGAAAACAATCGTTGCTTTTGCTCTTGAACCTGCAATTTGGGCGGGGCTTGGCAGGCTGCCTGGTCTCAGCTCCAGGCAGTGTCGGAGGCCACAGAGGGATGATCCCAATGCCTCTGGGTTCCTGAAGCCTCTGGTCGCTCCGTCCCTCCAGGCATCTCCTAGCCTGTCCTTGTCGTGGGTTCGAGTGAGCCCTGGATCGCGGTGGCCTCTGCATAGTGGGGCTTCTCACCCGGTGGCTGCCAGGCTTCCTCTGGCCTCACTCCCCTGAGAAATGCCAGCATGTTGCTTCTGCCGCATTCTATTGGTCAAAGTCAAGCGACTCTCTTCCTAAGGTCAGTCTAGGTCGGTGATGGCGAACCTATGACACGCATGTCAGAGGTGACACGTGAACTCATTTTTTTGGTTGATTTTTCTTTGTTAAATGGCATTTAAATATATAAAATAAATATCAAAAATATAAGTCTTTGTTTTACTATGGTTGCAAATATCAAAAAATTTCTATATGTGACACGGCACCAGAGTTAAGTTAGGGTTTTTCAAAATGCTGACACGCCGAGCTCAAAAGGTTCGCCATCACTGACCTAGAGGGTATTATAAAAAAATTTCTATATGTGACACAGCATCAGAGTTAAGTTAGGGTTTTTAAAAATGCTGACACGCCGAGCTCAGAAGGTTCGCCATCACTGGTGTAGATACAAGGGGAGGGACATAGACCCCGCCTCGCAATAGGGGGAGTGCCAGAGAATTTATGGCCAAAATGACCATCAGAGATTTGTATATATTGGTATGTTGATAACACACTTCAATATCATTGGTTTCCTTTGTAATTCTATTGTTTCATTATATACCTTGTAAAACACTATTCTGATTCTAAGCGTCCTCCTCTGTCCATTCCCCACAGCCTTGACCCTGGCCCAGGCTCCCACCTCTCTGGCGGGACCACTGCAATAGCATCCTTATTGGCTTCTGCCAATGGCCTCCCCCATCTCAAATCCTTATTCCAAAGCCCATCCTTTCTTAAGTCCACATTCATCCATCCACCCATCCGTCCATCGAGTCAGTGATTTGGCCGCGTGATCATCTATGTAACAGGAAGTGTGTTCTCTCAACAGACACCAGACCTGTCATTGCCTTGATCTTGGGCTTCCCAGCCTCCGGGACCATGAGAAAGAAATGCGTGTTTATAAGCTACCCACTCTATGGTATTCTATGATTGCAGCCCGGACAGATGAAGACAACACTGCCCCTTTTTCTGTATTTTCCTTTCCCTTTCCCTTTCGGAAGCCAATTCTGTTAGGCGACCTCTCTGAGCATTACAAACTAGCATTGACTGAGGCCACTTCTGGTTAATGGGTCTTCCCCAAACAGTACTTTGTTATTCAGAATCAAGTCATTGAGAGTGTCCTCCAAACCAAGAGATTTTGTTGGGACTCAAATAATATAAGGCGACTGCCCCCAGGCAAATGAATCGATATGTAGAGGACTGTTCACACAATGGAACACTACCCAGCAATGAGTCACGAACTACAGCCACGCAGAACCACACGGGTGCATCTCACAGATGAAATGTTGAGCAAAAGGAGCGAAACACAATGGATATGACCAGTAGGATTCCATTTAAATAAACTAAATAGACTATAAAACCCAGTCAAACTCACTCATCACATTAGAAGGCAAGCTAGGATGGCCCTTGGTGAGGTGCCTGAAGGGGACCTCTTGGTGCTAGCTATATTGTTTCATGCTGCTCACATGGGTGTGTTCAGTGGTGAAAATTCATGTATTCACTGAGATCTGTATTTATGATTTGTGCACTTTTAAATATA